AGCTGCTTCTCAGGAGAAGGATGGGCAGTCTCCTCCTGTGTAATGATCTGCCTCTGAAACGCCCTGGAGGGTCATCTGTGGTTGGTTCTGACTCGATGGCACACAAACAACAGCAACAACAGTTGGAATCAACTCAGTGTCAAAAGGCTGGAACCATCTCTCACACCTACTCCCTGCTAACGAAGATCAATGAGATGGAGAGAAAGAAAAGAAATCTCTAGAAAAGTGATGTCAATGATGAACACGAGGAAAGCACAGGCCTGAGCAGTGCTTTGTGCTGTTGAAGGGGGCGGGGGGACCTGTGAGACAGGGTCGACGTGATGACAACCACCTCCCACCCTTCCCTGCCTCAGTGTCTTCCCCCAGCAGCAGAGTAACTCCGCTTCTTTTTAAAACTCCTGCACTTAAAAAAAAACCCAAACATTAATAAAAAAAATCATTTAACAAAATAAACTCCTGTGCCCCCAAGGACTTCCTCCCAACCATTTGGCTTGTCTCTGGATGGGGAGTAATGTGGACGCAAGGACAGGAGAGAGAGCTGGGCTGAGAAGGGAATGGAGCTCTCACATCTCCGATGTGACAAAGCCCTGCACATCCACACTTCTGTCATCCTTCTCTGTCCAGAAGGTCACTCCCATGTCCTGAATGGAACCTGCTATTTCAGGGTGCCTCACAGGCAGCCTCTCCATCAGCCTTTTGACCATTGTGCTTTTAGGATATGCCTTATTGTCACCTATGTGACATTCACTCTCTAGAGCTCAGGACAAGAAAGACTTCACCCCTGCTTGGTTCTGTCCAAACACAGATAAAACATAAAATTCAGGTCAAGGGAATAGAAAATGACACTTTTCTCCTGATAACTCCTGGGATTTCCATGTCCTAAATAATCTAAAAGGAAAACCTAGAAAAATCCCAACTGGGCCACTTGGGAACTATGACATCAGCTGGAAGCTGAGGCTCCAAAATAAAGACACAATCCTCACTTGTTTCCTTCACAGACCTCACACATGGTCAAGATCCAGCTCAAGATCTTTATCTTAATCACATCGACAAAGTCCTCTTTGCCACATAAGGTGCCATATTGAAAAGCTGTGGGATTCGGAGGGGACACCTTCCAGTGTCGTGGAGGGAGGGGCAGGAGAGCTACTCCCCAACTACCAGAGCCTGGAAACCCTGGGGCACGGATCTGTTCTGATGAGGCCGAGTCCGCTCAGGGGCAGCTGGTTGGTTTGTGTGAAACTCTGTGTGTGTGTGTGTGTTTGTGTGTGTAAGCAGGTATGTTTATACTTAGATAGCATTATTAATTGACCTGGGTCCCATCCAGTTATTAATTGAATTGGGTCCCATCCACAAGGCATGTGTTATAAATCCTGTGGTTGTACTCCCATCTGAAAACGAGATACCTAGCCTTCCACCCATATCTCCTTTCAGGGAGGGAGGTCTGTCCCTTTGGGGATGTAATCTTTTAATAAATCTATCATTAATATTTTACCCTAAAAAACCCCAAGAAAACAAGTTGCCTTTGTTATATCAATGAGCAGTATTAGTTTACGCATACTCTTGTGTCAACTTCTTTTGAGATATGAAAGGAGCCATTTAAGCACGTGGAGCTGGGGAGGCCATGGCACACGAGAATCACCAAGGAGCCAAGGAACAGAAGACAAACAGACAAGGCCTTTCTCTCAGAGCCAGCACAGGACGCGTTGCCCGCTTGCTGGTGCTCTGACTTTGGACCTCCAGCCTCCTGAATCAGGGAGCTCTGCTGCTGGAATCTGTAGGGAATTGTGCTGCAGTCTAACCCAAAGCCCAGACCTCCATGGTAGCTCCAGTCTCCCAGGGGCTCATCAAGAGAAGGATGGGTCATCTCCTCCCGTGGAATTTATAGCCTCAGAAACTCAGTGTAAGGCTCAGTTGATTCTGACTCAAAGACAATGAGTTTTGAGGTTTCTGAGCCCCCTGAAGTCTGACGAAATAAATTCCTCTTTGGTAAGGCCACTCACTTGTATTTCTGACGTAGAGGTGGTGTTGTTAGGTGCCAGAGTTGACGATGGCTTAGAACAGATCGAACCTTGCCCTGCCTGCCCCATCTTCACAATCTGCCATGTTCAAGTCCATCGTCGTGGTCACTGTGACAATTAATCTGGTTGAGTCTTCTTCTCTTTTGCTGAGTCTCCACCTTTCCGAGCTTGAGGTCATTTTCCAAGGATCGGTGGCGCCCCTAACAACATGCCCAAAGCCTATGAGATGAAGTTTCACTAGCCTCACCTCCAAGGAGCACTCTGGGTGGTCTCTCTCCAAGACAGAGCTTTGGGTTCTCTTAGCAGCTCCTGGTGTACTCAGTACTCGATGCCAACACCACAGCACAAAGGCATCCCTAACAGTGACACTAGATAATGAAAATACATAACTTCTTCCAATTATTAAAATGCTAAGCTAAAGATTTGCAGCCCTCGGCCGGGTTCAAATTGTTTTCCTGTCAAACATTCTTCTAGGTGGTATAGCACTGGCCTGTACATTGCTGTACAGAGGTAACTCGTGGTTGCTGTGATGCTGAAGACTGTGACAGTGATGTGCCAATCGTGGTAATGGGTACCCACGGCGGACAGTCTTGGCTGGAGCTTCCCAACTAAATCAAGCCTGGAAGCAGGAGCGGCATCCACTTCCAAAATGGCTTGCCTCTGGAAACTCGATGTACGAACAGTGCTCAGGCCTTTTGTTCGAAGGGTCGCTATGAGTCGTCTACGACTCAACGGCACCTAACAACAACAATCTAAAGATTCTTGTTAAAGAATATTACAGATATAATTCAGACACCCAACCAACTGACCTTAAGATGAAGAGATTTTCCTAGATGAATTTTACCCATGATATTGCCTATTGATACTGAGATGTAATCCATGCTGAAGGTTGTAGTCTTTCATCTTCTCTAGTAAGGGCTTTAAGCCTTCTTCACTTTCCACAACCAGCCTGTGTTGTGCAGATGACATAATCTTGTTTGTGGAAAGTGAAGAAGGCTTGAAGCCCTTACTAGAGAAGATCAAAGACTACAGCCTTCAACATGGATTACATCTCAGTATCAAGAAACCAGAAATCCTCAACCCTGATCAATAGGCAATATCATGATAGATGGAGAAAACATTGATGTTGTCAAGGATTTAGTTTTACTGGGATCCGTTACAATCAATATCCATGGTAACAGTTGTCAGAAAATTAAAAAAATAATGTTGCATTGGGGAAACCTGAAGAGAAGCTCAATATCATCAATCAAAACAAAGCTAGAGGCCAACCACATAATGGACCACAGACTACTCATGTATGAGTTCAAGTTGAAGCTGAAGAAAATTCAAGTAAGTCTACAAGAGACAAAATACAATCTGAAGTGTATCTCAAGTTAATTTAGAGACCATCTCAAGAATAGATTCGACACCTTGAGCATTAGTGATGGAAGACCAAGCAAATTGCATGATAATATCAATAATATACGTGAAGAAAGCTAGAGGTCATTAAAAAGACAAAACAGAGATAGGAGAAGACCTGAATGGATGTCAGAATAGACTCTGAAGCTTGCTCTTGAAGGCAGAGCAAATAAGTCAATGGACGAAATAATGAAGTACAAGAGGTGAACAGAAGATTTCAAAGGGCAGCCAAGGACGACAAAGTGAAGGGGAAAGTGCAAAGACTGGGGTGACAAACCAAAAAGGAAGAGAATGGTCACCATTGCTCAGATGAGAAGAATGTGAGAAAAAATCCAAACCTAAACACCGAAGGATTCTACAGGTTAAACAATGAAAGAAACCTCAAAAGAACATGGAAAGAATACACAGAGGCCAAAAAGGAGGTCAATGTTCAACTACTTCAGGAGGCTGCATGCTCAAGGGCCCAGCACGGAGGAAGAAGTCTAAGCCATCCCGATGGCATTGGCTAGAAACAGGCTGCAGGAATGGTTTCAACAATGGGTGTGATGCTGGAGGGGTTTGTATGACTATGCCAAAAAATTTGAAGACAGCTACCCAGCAAACAGATGGGAAGAGACACACATGTGTGTCCATTGCAAAGAAAGGCGATATAACAGATTGCAGATATGATCAAATAATATCATTAATATCACATACAAGTAAAACTTCCATGAAGATAATCCCCAAATAGCTAGAAAGTTACGTTGACAGGGGAACTACCAACATTTCAAGCTGGAGTTAGAAGAGGTTGTGGAATGAGAGCTGTTAATGTTGATGTCAGATGAATCTTGACGGAAAAGCCAAAAAATACCAGAAAGGTCTTTCTTCGTATTTTTTACTGACTCTGCAAAAGCATTTGATGGTGTGGACCATAATAAATTATGGGTAGCATTGCAAAGAATAGGAATTACAGAACATTTAATTTTGCTCATACAGAATCTGTACCTAGGCCAAGATTCAACAGAACAAGGGGCTACTTTTCTCCAAATGTATTCAACCTGCATGCTGCACAAATAATTTGGGGATCTGGGCCATGTGAGGAAGGACATAGTTTGCCTCTTGTAGGAAGGGTATTTGAGGACACTTAAGCCACATCAGGGCACATCACCTACCAGACCATCATGAGACAGCAGGTGACCTTGCGGATGGTTGGGGTTCGGAACAGGTCCAAGATGGAGTTAGAGGTCCGGCTGTTGGCAAACTCGCTCTGGATGTAAGAATTCACCACCTGGTGATGAAGGTCTGGTCAGGGGAACAGGAATGTGGGGTTCCATGTTCTTTGTAGGGATCCCTTCCTCGGTGGGGAGGAGGGTGGAGTGGAGGTCTTTGACAGGACAGTTGCTCCTATCATCCTCTCCCTCCCTGGGAAGTTTAACTCCACCCAGAGGTGCCTCGGAAGCAAGGCCTAGCAATCTGCTTCCAAAATATTGCAGATTAACAATCCCACGGAGCACAGGGGCTGAATCACTGTGTTTAAATGTAGATGGCGAGTCTTGGGAATTGACCAAATCCAGGAGCTGTGCTGCCAACCTGAAGGCATGTGGTTCGAATCCACCAGCTGCTCCATGGGAGAAAGATGGGTAATCTCCCATGTGATTTACCGCCTCTGAAAACCCACTAGAGAACCGGCTGAGAGGTCACCCACAAGACTGCAGATTGTTGCCCCCTCCCCTCCGCCATCCCTACCTCCTTGGTCAGCCGGTCCCCCTCCTCCTTCCTCCCGTTTAGCGTCGCCACCTTGCGCAGGTTCTGCAGGGCCAGCTGGGACTTGCCCTGAAGCAGCAGCCAGCGGGCCGACTCCGGCAGCCACCTGGCATCAGGAGGAGAATGCAGAGAGAGTGACCCAGGGCTCTGCTCCTTCCAGTCCTAAGTCCAAATGCACCTTCATTCAGATTCTAGCAAAAGGTGGGGTTCCCTACTGTTTGTAGAATCTAGAAAGTTGGGGCACACTAACAACTAGCACCCCTTTTCCCCCAGCACATCCTATGAGAGTCACTGAAAGACACCTAGAGACTACACAGGGCTTCAGACTTCCACCAATCCAGCTTCAAAGTTGATTCAGCCCCAGCTGCGTGGCTTTGAATAAGTCAGGGAACCTCTCTGGGCTGCCCCTCAGTTTCCGCTTGTGAAAGGTCTCAGGCAAGGGTATTTGTGAGCACGTCCAGCAGGTCCAGCGGCTACACACCCTGTCTGGATCTCGCAGTTGTACCCACCCACCCATCCACCCCAAGGTGCTCAGGACCTACCAGGAATAGAGGAAAAAGATGAGGAAAGGGGCAGAGACGGCGAACTGCAGCCATCGCCATGGGCGGATCACGTACGCCACAGTGGCCAGGATGACCTGGCCTGTGGTGAAGGAGAAGCCCAGCAGGATGCCCGCCACGGTCCGGCCCCGGGTGGGCATCCACTCCACCACTGCGGGGGAACGACAGCCAGTCAGTGGGACGTGGCACACACGTGGCTGTTCTGCGCATCCTGTCCCCTAAGTATGACCCTGAGGTTCAAACCCTAAACCAAAGCCATTGTCAATACTGATGCATGGTGACTGTGTGTGTTAACCGGAAATCATTCCACCGATATGACACAGGCAAAGGCGTCCCCACTCGCTCCAGAACCCAATTCCGACTCACAGTGGCCTCGTGTGTCTTAGGGGAGAGCTGTGCTCCACGGGGCTTAAAGTGGTGGAGTTTTTCAGAAGTAGATCTCCTCTGGGTGGATCTGAACTTCCAACCTTTTCCTTATTAGCTGTGTGCTTTAATTGTTTACACCACCCAGGGAATCCCTTCACTCCTTGCTCAACTCACCCATTCCAAGTGGATCAATGGACCATGCAACAAAATTAGTTGAAATTATGGTGGGATTTTAAAAATTACAATTTTTTTTAAAATTTCTTTTTATTTTATTATTATGTGTGCATGTATTGTCAAATTGGATCTGACTGGTTAAAAATTACAATTTTAAAGTAAGGAAAGGCACCTTTTGCAGATGCCAGAAAAAAAATCCAATAAATTTTCTTCCCTAAAGCATGAAAAGTGTCTGCATTGACTAACAAAGTCGTGCAGTCAGCCAAACCAGTCTGCTCCCACCTCCAAAACTTACTGCAACTCAAAACCCAAGAGCAAGCAGACTTCCCTGCTCTTGGCAGAGTTTGAGCTGATCAGCAGGACGGGGAACGCCCACAGCTGCCGCCTTCTGCCCTCCTGTCCCCCTGGGATGTCACAGGGCTGGACTCACCCAGCGACAGGGAGTTGAGGATGATGCCGGAGAAGGTCATGCCCGTGAGGAACCGGAAGGCGCAGTAGGTGCTGAAGGAACCGAAGTAGGCAGTGGCAGCCCCCGAAATGGCCAGCTGCAGGTACGACCAGATCAGGGGGGCCTTGCGGCCCAGCCTGTGTGGGAATCAAGTCGTACAGGTGCTTGGGATGCTGATCTGCCTGGGAGGGAGCAGCCTGCCCAAGGGGAGCCGGAGTGAGGGAAAACTGGGGGCCCCCTGGGAAAGCCTCTCCCCTAAAACAGAAAAGCCCCCTTTGTAACTCAACTGAAGGGCTGATTAGAAGATAACTGACAACGAGGAGGTTCTTACCTTCCTAATCCCTCCTTCCCTCCATGTTTCTAGACTCCCCTCCAGGCCCATGGCCTCGGGGGACTGTGGGCCAGTGGAAGGGTGTGGACAGTGGGGGGTGGTCTGTGCCTGAGGAGATGTTAGTGAGTCAGTGGACTAGACTCACGTGACCCTGTGCACAGCAGATCAGAGCGTGTCCCTCCTGCGCTGTCCACCTGTCCATCTCCAGGCCACGGACAGTCACTGGGTCCATCTCCTTGAGGCTCTTCCTCTCCTTCTCTGACCCTCTGACTGGCCCCTCCTGACTGCACGCCCAAAGTACACGAGATGAGGTCCCTCCACCCTCGCCTCTAAGGAAGACCCAGGCTGCCCTTCCCCCAGCAGGTCTGTCTGTTCTGTTGCCAGGCCCCCGGCTGTTCAGTGTTCTTCTCCAACACCACACCTCAAAACCTGAGCCCCTCGGGTTGGAGGATGCGCCGCTGGAGAGAAGAGCGATGCTCAAACCATAATTCACTGTGTATATGTGGGTAGGGGGGGGTGAGTTCTCAACGGGTGACAGCAGGGCCCAGGCTAAGTCCGCCCCTGAGCTGGTGACCCAGGGCAGCTGGGCTCCAGGACAGTGAAGGTTACCCCACTCTGGCTTTGGCACTGTCTATCTGCAAGTAAGGCTCACCCACCTTAGACGGAGGGGGTGAGCAGCTTCCTCCACACACCCCAACCTGGGCCCGTGTACTCATTCATTCATTCCACATACATCCACTGAGGCACCCTCAGTGTCAGCCCTGAACTGGGTGCTGGTGACAGACCAGCCACTGAAGCTAAGATCTCAGTGGTCGCAGGAGAGGATTAAGACATGTGTGGGTCACACAGAGGGACCCACAGGCAGAATGGGCTGCCCTTCAAGGTGGGGGGCTGGCCTGTGGCAGGCCCAAAGGAACTGCAGGGAAATGGTGAGGGAGGGGAGGCCCAGGGAGGAGAAATAAGGAGAGAAGGGGGAAAGAACTGGGACAGAGAGGACAAGGAGGAGAGAACGCATTTCCTGGGCCTCTGTCCTTCACGGGCAGGCAGCTACGTCCTGGATCAACTACACTAGGGGCCCAATGAGGATGGGCCAACTCTTTCCAAACGACCCCCAGGAGGCCTGAGAGAGAGGGCTCAACACATGCAGAGGGGCAGCGTTTGTGTAAATAGGAGACAGAACTTATCTGTGCACTTGCTTGACTGTGTGTCATAAAGTCTCTGGGAGGAAGCAGAGATAGGGTTGCCCCTGGAGAGGGGGACAGGAGGTCCCCCCACATTCTTTCATGCCCTTCTGACCTTGTAAACCATGTGACTGTATTATTTGTAACATCTATTTAAAAAGCACTAATGGATTCTGGCACAACCTTGCTTGCTGAAAGTGAAGAGGACTTGAGATGCTTGCTGCAGAAGATCAAAGACTATAAAATCTTCAATATGGATTGCATCTCAACATTAAGAAAATGAAATCCTCACCACTGAGTCAAATTGTCAATGATTTCATCTTACTTGGATCCACAATCAACACCGTAAATAGCAACAGTCAAGAAATCAAAAGATGTGTTGCACTGGACAAATCTGTCAAAGATCCCTCCAAAATGCTAAGGCGCAATGATGGTGGTTTAAAGACTAAGGTGTGCCCGATTCAGACTTTCAATCCCTTGCTCTGTATCTGAGAGCTGGACAACAAAAAAAGGACGACAGAACAATCATCAACGCCTTTGAGCCGTGGTGTTGGAGAAGGGCAGTGACTACGCCATAGACAAGTAAAAGAATAAACAAATATTCCTTCAAGGAAGTGCAGCCAGTGTGCTCCTTGAAGCAAGGATGGTGAAGATTTGTCTCAGGTACTTTGGGCATGCTGTCGGGAAAGGCTATTCCTTGGAGAGGGACATCATGCCTGGAAATGTGGAGGGTCAGTTAAAGAGAGGGCGACCCTCAACCAGGTGGGTTGACAGAGTGCCTGTAGCAGTGGGCTCCAGTATGACAGACGTAGGACACAGTTCAGATCTGCTCTTCACAAGGTCATTATGAGCCGCACTCAATTGGCCATCACCTAACAACCACCACAATGGATTTCAGTAAAGGGGAATTGAAGAGCCCGCGCTGGGTGGGTGTCCGGGACCCTCAGCCCAGCTTACCTGTCCGAGATGCTGCCAAACACAGCGGCGCCCAGCAGCACGCCCGCCATGTAGATGGACTGCGCCAGGTCCCGGAAGGTACGTGCCTCACACACCAGGTCCCACTGCACAAGGAGAGAGTGTCACTGCAGCCTGGCCCTGGGCCTTGGCCCCCACGCCACCCCGGCCCCCTGCTGACCTCTGTCACGATGGTGGACGGGAACACACTTTGGTCATAGACCCAGCCGTCCTCACAGCCCTCCGTGGCTGCCCCATGGATGGAGGTGTTGGGGGTCAGCAGGGCCCACTGAGGCTCAGTGAAGCGCTGGCACTGCTCAGGGACCCCGGCTTCATCCAGGGGCACGGTGGCCCTCAGCCAGCCCCCCGAGTGGTTGGTGGTGACTGGAGTGCCATTGGCAGGGCCCTGGCAGTGGTGGGGAGGCACAGCAGCTGTGAAGTTCTGCAGGAAGTTGTGACAGGCCAGTAGGCTGCAGGGCAGGAGCAGCAGCGCTGTGTAGACGAGCTGGAAGCGGCCCACACCGCCCAGGGTGTCCAGTAGGTCAGTGAAGGCCATGACCTCAGGCCTGACCCCACAGCAGTCGGGGTTCTTATGTTAGGGGCCGGGGAGGAGTCCAGGGGTGGAGACATAGGCTGAGGCTGAGCCTATGGCTGAGAGTCTGATTACACCCACAGGAGGCTGTTGGGTCCCCACACCCACCCACCTCCCTCCCCTAGCTCCAGCAGATTGCTCCCCCCACCTCTCCATCTCTCACCTCCCAGGTAAGAAAGATAAGGGGGACACCACGGGCAGCTTCACAGCACCACCAGATCTGCAGACTCATACACCCTTACCGGGAGACCCCAGCACCAAGAGGGACACCCTCCCCTTCTTCTCCCTCCCCCTCTGAGACCACCTTGAGGATCCGGCAGGAGCCTTGACCCCAGCCTGTCTCTGGGCTGTGGGTTGCAGGGGTGCTCAGAGCTGGGAGGTCAGATAGAGGTGTGCTGGTGATGAAGGCTGCCTCAATCACCCCGAGAGTAGGGACTAGGCTTTGAGGGAGACACTGAGGGAAAGCCCAAGAGGGCCTTAGGGTTAGGTGGGTCAGATAAGCTGTAGGGAAACTTGACTCCTCCTCTCACTAAAGACCCAGAGGCGGGGATTTTGTGGGGACTAGGACCCCAAGATCATTTAGTGTAGTTTCAGCCCCCTTGTCCAAAGTGACCCAATGTAGAGAACTTGAGAGGTGCTGAGCTAGCTGGGGGAAGAGTGGGGTCCAGGGGCAGGGCCCCTAACAACAGCTTGGACTCCAGGAAGTTTCCTTTCATATGATCCCCCAACAAGAACTCTGGGGCCCAGCAGCAGCAGGCCAGGAGCTCCCAGAGTGCATGGCGGGAGCAAGATGCAAGCTGGAGACATCCTATTCCGAGGTCTGTGCCAGCCTGTGTCCAGGCAGTCTGCACTCAGGGTCTTGCAAGTTCCCCCACCCGCCCAGGGCTCCAGACAGAGGGTGGCCCTCTGGGGTCCTGCAGCCCTGGCTCTGCAGACAGTCTGTGCCTCCCTCAACCCCCTCCCATCCTGTCACCACTTTCACTCCCTCTTATCTCTGGTAAGCAAAGTCCAGCTCCCAGAGGGATGGTGGTGGCTCAGATAAGGTACAGGTGTCTGGGTCACAAGGGCACCCCCCAGGGGACTGGCAGGTGGCTGCGTGCTCTGGGGAGCTCCCTGGGGGGTCGGCTCAGTGCTAAGCAGCAGTTTGAGTTTCAGCTGGAGCTTCATGGGCAGGAGTGTGGGGGAGGCGTCAATCAGATCTTGGGGACAGGAGTGCGCCCAGGAGGTGCCAGGCAGGCCAGGGGCACCAACACGTGTCAGACCCCGCAGGACCAAACATGACCCCAACAGTGTGGCCTGTGTCTGCAATAGGATGTGGGGCTCTGCTCCCCCTCTCTCAAGGCACCAGCAGGGGTGCAGGCCTGGGGAGCGACAGGGAAGAGAGGGGGGCTGGTGAAGTGGAGGTGTCAGCTGTGCCCTTCAGGCAGCAGGTTTGGGTAAAAAATACTCCAGGGCCAGACAGGGGGTGTTTTCTCTTTTATTTGGGGTTTTTCTACACAGAAATTTGAGAGCCCACTACCCCACACCCAGGCACCTCTGGCACCCCCACAGCCAGTAAGTCAACCCGAAGAGTCCCTTCTGAACCACCAACATGACAAGGGGGGACAACTTCCCAGGTTTCTGCCCCAGAGTGCCCAGCCAGTCCAGCCCTGGGGAGGGGAGGTCCCCACCAGGAAAGGCCCCTGGCCCCCCTGGCCTGGAATCCCATGGCTGTGAAGCTAGTGGTCATGGCAGAGTTTGCAGTGAGGTCAGGTGGGCGGGGCTGCGAGGGTGGCCCCAGGGGACCAGAGTAGTGGTACATGAGGGCTCTGGGGGAGGCTGGGCCATCAGCTCCCCTGGGAACCCCACCCTGAGGCAGGCACAAGCGAAAGCTGCCTTCCTGGTCTGGTCCAGGCTGGGCCCTCAGCTGCAGGGGCGCAAGGACACCCAGGCAGATGGGGCGCGGTGGCTGGGAGGCAGGAGCTGGAGGGGGGGCCCCCTCCACACCCCAAGGAAGGCACTTGCAGCTGGGTGGCCTGGTAGGCTGAAGGAGGTGTGGCTTGGCAGTCGAGGGCACAGCAGGGAGCTGAGTGCCCCTCATGCAAACATGGTCAGCTGTAACCACTGGGGGGGGGGAGAGAGAGGTCAGCCAGGCAGAAGGTCACAGAGGACCCCTCATGCAGGTGATCTTCTAACTCCTCTGCCTCAGAGACCAGCCTGTGGGCTCCTCCCAAACTCAACCTCGCTCCCACCCCCCACGCCCCACCCCTTTCAGGACACAAAGGCCTTTAGAGACCACAGCTCCTGCCCAGCACAGGACTGGAGACCACAGGTAGAACCAGGAAGAAAATGCAGCAGCCCCTGAAGAATGCCCCGCCCCTCCCTACCAGGACCCCCACAGGGTCCCACCTTAAACAGGTCAAAGGTCACGACTCCATCCAGATCTGTGTCCAGCGTTTTAAAAAACCCTGTGTGTGTTCAAAACACAGGGCTGAGTCACGAGAGCATCCCCCACAGAGTCAGGGCTGCCCCACCTTCCCGCAGCACCCCCCCCCGCCAGTGGGAGGGGCATATTCTGATGCCACTGCCCTCGACCTCCAGGCGCCCAGGGATGGGGGTGGGGGGTGGGGCGGACAGCAAGGGACAAGGGACACTCACGGAACATGGTCTCCAGGCGAACCAGGCAGCACACGAAGTTGTCAAAGTCCACGGCCAGGTCGGGCTCCGAGTAGCGGGTGATGATGAGTTCGTACAGCTTCTTGTTGAGCTTGAAGCCTGGGGTAGGGAGGGCAGGGCAGGGTGTGAGGGCTGGGGGCGCCCAGGAGAGCTGTGTGCAGGGTGGGGGCCAGCCCCAGGCTGAGGGATAGGCGCTCGAGCTCTGAAGTGGAGGGCATGTGAGGGCCTCCCCAGTCCCTGGTGGTAGACTCCTGTTCAGAGGCACGAAACTGTCGTGTGCAGGGCGAGGAGCTGAGAGGCAGGCACCCAGCCCCACAGGGCGCACCCAGGGCTCACAATGCCCTTGGCTGTGCCCTCGAATGAGCCCGGGGTGGGGGTGGGGGCTCTGGAGCCCAGCACAATCCATCCCAGCTGGGCCTCACTTTCTCTTGTGTATAACAGAGTTAACAAGAGAACCTCATCTCACTTAACTTCTGTGGAAAATAAGAATCAGAAAGGCACACTGAAGTGGAGGAAAGGCCAAGAGAATGGCTGGGGGCATGTCATCACTATCATCATCACCTCTGGGGACAAGTGGGGTGAACCACCACCCACTCTCAGGGAAGTGGCCTGGGGTACTGGACATAGGGGGGCCATGCTGTCTCAGCCACGGTGCCCCACCTTTGAGTCTCACCTGCAGACTCAATGGCCATTCGCATCTCGTAGGCGCTCATGCTGCCTGACTTGTCCAGGTCAAACTTCCGGAAGATGGCCTGGGATGGGCAGAGGGTGAGGGCCAGGTGGAGACACTGGCCCTTCCTGCCTGCACCTTCCCACCCCTACTACTGGCCCCACGTTTTCCAGGAGAGAGGCCCAAGAGTTAGGTCGAGGTGGAAGGCCTGGCCATATAGCCACCAGAGGCTGCCGCCCACTTTGCCCTGCCGAGGCCGAGGCTGCAGAGGGCATCAGTCAGCCGGGCCCACCTACCAGGTAATTCCGGATGCGGTTCCAGAGGATGTTAAATTCCACCAGGCCCAGTTTCCCATTGCCATCACGCTGGAGGTCGTTAAGAAGGCAGTGCTACAGCTTAGACCAGGGCTGGGGGCAGGGTAGAGGGGACCAGTGCAAAGAAGGGGACACTGGCCACAGAAAGAGCAAGACAACTCTCAAGGGAGGGGAGACATTATAAGGGTCCCATGCAGCCAGCCCACAGCCAGGTTCTCTGTGTTTAAGGGAGAAGACAGGCTCGGGGAGGGGTGCAGGAAGAACCCTGGCCTTCAGGCCACTCTCGGTGTATGGCTTATGCCTGTTTCCTCCTCAATCAGTGGGCAGATGTCCCAGAAGGCATGTGAAACCCGCAGCCCACAGAGCCTTGTGCATTTCTTGCTGTCTCCATGTCAACACCCTCAAAACAGCACCCAAGGATACATCCATGAGGTTCACCATGCTGCGGCAGGACTCCAGGCTGAAGCCCTTGGTGCGCAGGTCTTTGTCTGCAAGAAAAATCGCTTCCAGTGAGTGATGCACTCTGCCCCACGCACGTGTGTGTACACACACACACACACACGACTGTTGGGGAGGCAGGAGTTCTGCCCAGGGAATGCAGGCAGTAGCAGAACATGCTGTTTGCAAGTTCCTGGCAGCCGCAGCCTCACCCAGCACCACTCTGTTAGGTGTCTGTTCTACTCCACATTCAACAGAGAGAAACCTCTCACAAGTCTGATGGCAGTGAGCATGTTTGGGGGTGTTAATCATAGTAAAGTGGAAGGTCAACAAAAAAAAAAAGAAAGAAAAGAAAAAACTCTCGAGAAAAAGAGTTGATTTCAACCCGTGGTGACCCCTCCGTCAGATTCCCATGGAATCTTTGCAGGAAGTGGCCTATCTTTCTCCCATTATTAAGCAGCTGGTAGATTCAAACCACTGACCTTTCAGTTAGCAGTGTAAAATTGTAATGAACTATACTCCTAGAGTTCCACCTTGCTCACATGGGGTGGCTGGTGGGTTCCAACCGCTGACCTTCTGGTGAGTGTGTAGTGCTTTGTTCGGTGCACCACCAGGGCTTTTCGGGGTGAAGGTTGGCTGTATTTTTTGTACAGAGGCTTCCCACTGGCTAAGCTGAGAACCTGCAGGGCTGTACTGCTGGATCCGAGCCCACGTCCCAGCCCTCCAGGGAACAAGCTCAGGCCAGAAGAACAGGGTTCTAGCAAGATCGCCAGACGGAAGTGGGCAAAAATTGGGGGTGAAGCTTCCATGCCTCATGCAGGTTAACGGGTGAGGTGAGAGGCCTGGAGGACAGGGGGCCTCCCAGGTGGGGCAGCCGCCGGCCACTC